TATTGTAAGGAACTTTAGGTTAAAGCCTGTGTGGAATAAGAACTCCTCCCAGAAGATACTAAAAAGATGAAACTGTTATAATTGTGGGAAATATAGCCCATACAACCGATACTGTAAGGAATCAGCACCTATTAATAAGCCAAGGAGATAACAAATGCCCTAAGAATCAGTGTTCAAGCCCAGCCTAAGTAGAGAAACAACAAAGGGCTACCCAGGTATCAAAAAGACAGGAACTAGCTGCATTTATGGGTTAAAGTCAACTGAGAATACTTTATCTTCCCCAAATAAGGAAAGAAATTCACTATTTGAGAAAAATAGTCTACGATTCCATGGACATATTGATGTGAAACCTTACAGTATACTGACTGGCACTGATTCTTTAGCTACAATTGGTCGAACAAATTATTAATGACATGTGGGAAATCGCCTACAGAGATGAAGAAAGGAGAGGGATTGGTGTGACTCATAATTATGCATAACGTTCCATCAAAAGGGAAGTTGGAATTTACCCTTACTGTAGGAATCTTCTCTATTCCTCGTGGTGTGTGGGTGATGGACATCGAAAAGAGTGCATGTTGGGAACTACTTTTATGTGGCTACATGGATGTGAGTTAGGCTAGCTTTATTTAGTTTCATCGTGTATGACCAGGAAATCCCTGTGCACTACATGACATTTACTACACCAGAGGTTGAACTCGCAGTGACAACAAAGAGAACAACCATCGTAACATCAAGAAGTGAATTACTGATACCAGAAGTTATCAACAATAAATCTATATCTTAGTTACTAAGGCGTAGTGAAACTAGATACTTCAGAATGATGTTGTACATGAGTTTACTCAGGAAGACTTAAGTCAGCTTGTGGTTCGCCATGATACTGTGATGATAGATTTGGATTTCATCAAGATGATATACGTTATGGCTGAACAGTTCTCATTGCAAGGGAGGACAAACTCCAAAGTTAAGTAGGTGTTTGGAAGGGCTTTGTGTAGTATTGAAAAAACAGCAACCAATGATGTAGTTTACAGAATCCAAAAGGATATGGAATACAAGCAAAAAGTTATCCACCGTGATTGTTTTTAGAAGTACGTTGGTGAGAGAATGGTTAATTGAGTAACTCCAAAGAAGAACTTGTCAACAGAAACTCAACCTGCCAAGACTACTGGGGATACCACTTACAGAAGATCAACAAAGATAGAGCCATCAGCAGATGCAATCGACCAATCAAACTAGGAGGATATCTAATCTGTATACCACGAGCCATGGAAGAGAAAACCATCAAAACGTTTGATGAGTGTACAATTTAAGGTAGTGTTTGATTGCTGTATTACCATAGTTCGAGAAACTTCACAATCAGGAAGGGGGCCATGTTGTAAGCTAGGCTTCTAATGCTTCAATTTGGATTTTAGTTAGCGTGCACCTGAAACTATAGTAGGTCTAGAATACCTAGAATGTTCTAAATGACGTCATAGAACTATTGATATATCTAGAAGTGAGACATTGGTGATAAATTCGAGTTAACAGAGTGAAGTAATAGCAAATGTCAAGGTGAAGTAGTTCAGTGTGTGAATGCCGAGTAGTTGTAGATCAACTGTTAGTTATCACGTATATTTAATTACTTTATCGATTAGCCGTGAAATTGTACAAGTAAGTTGATTTTTATGTTAGTCGTGGTACCATTAGTGAGATATTTCCGTTTGAACGGTCCCCCGGTAAGTCTTCGAATTTACAAAGCTAAAATCAGGGGTTCGATTTCCCTCGGTGGACACGGCAGACAGCCCGATGTGGCTTTGTTGTAAGAAAACACACACGTTTGAACGTCATTTGTGTACTTAAGCCTACAACCTACAACAACGTACACGTGAAGGCAGCTTGTAAAAACGTTAAGAAATAAATAAAATAATTTATTATTGTTATGTGTAATGGAGTACAAATTACTTTCAACAAATATTCTAAAAGAGCCCGCTCACAATTTCATTAACTATCGCTCAAAAACATTTAAAATTAAAAGATTTTACAGTGTAAGTTGAATTCAAAAACGTAGGCTTCTATAAATCTGGATTCGTTCTGAAATATGTACTAAATTTCTTGGTACAAATATATGAACAAAGACGTGCAATCAATATTCCTTATAATTGTATTAAAAGCATAACCATGTATATAAAGGTAAAGGAACAATAGTGCAAGGTAACAAGATATAACAAATCCAGTTCAGAATTTATTTTTAAGAGTTTATCACTGATGGTAATTTCATCTCATCTTCCAGATACATCGTAAATTATACATCATAAAGATATTTTCTTTCCAACAGATTCTTAAAGACAAATTTTGTATTTAATTTCTTTTGCTTTCATGAATCTGTTAAAATTAAATATAATGATTAAACCTAGATTGAACTATTTTTTTCTAAGTATTATGTTTGAAATTTTCCCAAGTGCAAGTACCAAGTTTGAGAATATGTAAAATGTATACAATTACTTAAATATAAAAAGAATTAAAAGCGTGTGCAAAAAAAAAAAAATCTAAAGTTTTGCTTGTTAATCCATTGCGAAGTTTGCCAAAGGTTACATGCCATTTTTAACGCGGTCTAAAAAGCGCAGTTCTTTTTGGTGCAAAGAACTCGCTGGATTTTCATCTGGTTTTCTTATTCTCATTCTTTAAATGTGGTCATAAAATTTACAATATTCCTTCAGTTGAGAAACGTAACTGTTCTATTATCGCTATCCAATTTAAGGTATTTGGGACCATGGTTTGACTCAATGTGGAGATAAATCAACAAAATTTCAACCTTCCAAAAAATTAAAGAAAGAAACGGTCAATATAAGAGTATAAAAATGGCCTTTACCTAAATATAGTGGATGGCCAATGCCCACCCTTCCAAAAAATTAAAAAAAGAAACAGTGAATATAAGAGTATAAAAATGGCCTTTACCTAAATACAAGTGGATGGCCAATGTCCACCCTTCCAAAAAAAAGTGGCTGGATGATGTCCAACCTTTAAGTAGGAATATTCTCATTAATACGAAATGTTTTTACAGTGAAAAATACAGAGGAGAAATGCAATGATTTCTGTTGTAATTTCGCCTCCCAGTGGCACAGCGGTATGTCTGCGGACTTACAACGCTAGAAACTGGCTTTCGATACCCGTGGTGGGCAGAGCACAGATAGCCCTTTGTGCAGCTTTGTGCTTAACTACAAACAAACAAACTGTTGTAGTTTAAGAGTCGGGTTTTTCACTTATATATATATATATAAACTTAAATGCTTGAAACCTGACTTTCTTTGGATATTTGAGTGTAGCATATCGGGTAGAGCAAATATCATATTCATTTTAAGATAGAGCCAGTTATTCTCCATATATAAATGGACTAGATCATGATATTAAAAACAGGGTTGTACTAGAGTTTGCTGAATTAATTACTGATTATTTGTTACTATCAGCAATGCTGTAGAAAAGATAAACATCATTTAGAATATAAATTTTGTGTTTTATGTACTCGTTTGTTTGTACCACGGGTATCGAAACCCGGATTCTAGCGTTGTAAGTCCGCAGACATACCGCTGTGCTACTGGGGGCTTATGTAGTCCTTCACGAGACTGAAGAAACCAGAAACAACATTAAGTTAACTAAACATTTTACACACTGATCTAGAATGGAAATGTGTTAAAAGCTTTGCATTTATAAGATTATTTTACAAACACAATAAATAAATTTTAAATGACAATTTAGTTTTTTTGGCTTAGTTTGTTTGGAATTTTACGCAAAGCTACTCGAGGGCTACCTGCGTTGGCCATCCCTAATTTAGCAGTGATTGACTAGGGGGAAGGTAGCTACTGAACACCAACCATCAACTCTTGGGCTACTCTTTTACCAACGAATAGTGGGATTGACCGTCACATTATAACGTCTCATGGTTTAAAGGACGAGCATGACAATTCAAATAAATCTTGTAAAAACCTTAAACTCTGTCTGGGACATTCAAATAATATTATTTCTTCAGTTAACAAGGATAACTGATGGATTTTCTTTGAATTTACTTAAAGTCCTAGCTGAAAGATCCACGAAGCTTTCACATATTCAAATCAGATTACCAAAATGTCTTTTATTGCTGATAGCTTCTAAATTTGTTAGTAACTTTTCAATGAATTTGATGAAAGTTCAATATCTTTGGGGTCTATCCTAATAAACAAAAACACACTAGTTAATATTTTAACGTATAAATTAATAAAGCCTAATGACACTGAAAATCACAAATGTGTTGCTACGACTTTACAAGAAGTCCTGTTTATTTAAATCGGAAACTTCCAAAATAGGCCCATTATACCTGGCCTAGATACTGAGTGAAACAATTCAGTTTTTATCCGTTGGTTTTTAATTTTCAGTGGGAGTTTGTCACGTTTGATCTTTTTTCTTTTCTATACTTTTCATTTTGAGACAAGTTTGTAGATAAATACGTAGCGAATGTGTGATAAGCTTATTTACATTTTCTGTGTAGTAAATCAAACTTGTATGAATCGTTCTCTTCTCGCATTAACAATTAGTAACATTGTAAGAAAAATATTATCTTGAACGATCAATTATTCTAGAATGTTTTATGCAAATAACTGAACTGCTTGTATTTGTTAATTAAGTTGCTCCTATACGAGTATATTTTTTTAGTGTGCAGGACCTTTTTAGAATGTAAAAAGAGAGACACCAGTGTTCTTTGTACTTTGAACTGGTGCTTCGGACCAAACATTTAGAACAAATTAAAAAAACAAACTAAAAACTTTTAAAATTTAGATTACAAACATATCAATAAAATAAAAGTCTAAAGTAAATTACAACGTAAGTAAAAAAAACTTTATCGTAACACTCTTTAATTAAACGCACCCGATAACGCTCTATTATATTTATAATATATTAGAATGACACAGTTTAGGAGCTCGAAAATCGAACAGCGTGCTCGATACTTCGCCATTTTGAGAGGGCGCCACTGTAGCGTCTAGGTGGCCGTGAAGGAACCATAACTAGTGTTGTAGATTGTAGCTGTTTACACGTATGAGAAAATGTGCTTAAATTCTGTCTTTTAGTCTTCTCTTTACATTCTACTATGGAAGATATGGATTTTAGTTCACTTGAGGTGAAGACGGCACATGTTTCTTGTTTGTATCCAGAGATTTTAGCACTTATATTTAGCTACCTCGACGTTAAGGACAAGGGCCGTGCGGCACAGGTTTGTAAAGCGTGGCGGGAAGCCGCCTATCATAAGTCCGTGTGGCGAGGCGTAGAAGCCCGGCTACACTTGAGGCGCGCCAACCCGTCTTTGTTTCCGAGTTTACTGCGTCGAGGCATCCGTCGTGTACAAGTGCTTAGTTTACGCAAAAGTCTACGGGACGTTGTGCAAAGGCTACCAAATATAGAATCTCTTAATCTGAGCGGCTGTTATAATCTGACAGACTCTTGGTTAAACCACGCCATGGTCCTCGAAGTGCCGTCACTCACAATCCTTAACCTTAGCATGTGTAAACAAATTACAGACTCCAGTCTTAATCGTATAGCCCAATGTGTTAGTTATTTAGAAGTTCTCTATCTCGGTGGTTGCAGCAACATCACAAACGAAGGTCTACGTTTTATCGCCTCAAAACTGAAAAAACTTCGAGTGTTAAATCTGAGGAGTTGTCGTCACATCTCTGATAAAGGAATTGCAGATTTGGCTGGTCTGTCCCTAGAGAGTGGAAGTGGAGCTGTGGGTTTGGAAAACTTAGGCCTTCAGGACTGCCAGAAAATAACTGACGAAGCCTTACGGCATCTCAGCCACGGTGTGTTGCATCTTAAGAGTATCAATCTTAGCTTCTGTGCTGGAGTTACAGATTCGGGGCTGAAACATTTAGCGCGGCTGTCGACTGTACGTGAACTCAACCTTCGCAGCTGCGACAACATTTCTGATATTGGAATGGCATATTTGGCCGAAGGTGGGTCAAGAGTGACCATTCTGGACGTTAGTTTTTGTGATAAGGTAAGTGACCAGGGTCTTCTGCATATATCTCAAGGTTTGTTTAACCTGCGCAGCCTCAGTTTGAACGCTTGTCCAATTAGTGATGAAGGGCTAAGCCGTGTGGCACGTACTCTGTCTGATCTGCATACCTTAAATATTGGTCAGTGTTGTAGGGTTACGGATAAGGGACTTAGCCTTATAGCGGATCATCTTCATCACTTACAGTGTATAGACCTGTACGGATGTACGAAGATCACAACAGTAGGTCTTGAGAAAATTATGCAGATACCAAATCTTGCAGTTTTAAATCTTGGCTTATGGCAGCGAGAACATAATGGTGGTCTTCCGAAACCAAAGGAAATTGGTAGTGGACTTCATAGTTTAATAGGAACTGTAAAATATAAGTAAGAGTGCCATTTATATATGTGTGTGCATGTCGTCATGGCCTAGATCATCCAGGTATACACTCTGTTTGTCAACCGTCCACTTGGTTAACTTCACCATCACAAGATGTTTATGTTCTGTGTAATGGGATGTGTTAGGAGTTAGTACTGAACGGTATTCTACTTGTTTATACATTATGATATAAAAAAAAGGAAAACGTTGAGATTAATAGAGGATCTCTGAACCGTACAACTAGGCTAAACAGAACCGAAACGAAACACTTAAAAGCTATATGTTTTTCAAGTTGTGATATTAGGGGCAGCAACTGCAAGGTGCAGATTTATTAATATGTAATTAGATGAATCGGTTTTGTTATCTTACTGAGATGTGTTTTATTCCATATTCGTGCACCTTTTATGTAATCATAGGAGTGTAGATATGAAACAAGAGCTGTAGAGTTTAGCGTAAGCATTCAGAAATGAGTCTGAATGCTGTACAGTTCAACAACCACTTAGGCTACTTGTTATGAATCAAAGGTGCTCAAAAGTATTGTTTTTGAATTTAATTATGTAACAAAAGGAATAAAATATCACCTGATGTCGAAACAATATGATGTTTATTAGTGATGATTTTTCTTAAATTGTAGTAATAAAAACAAAACCATGCAGCTTGATATACATCATAATTCTTAGTTAATATTATTTCAAGCGAAGTATTTGCATTGTGTCTCAATTTAATAGTTTTAACTACGGGAATATGTTTGTCACACAAAACAATATTTTGATTATAGTTTATTTTTTCGGTACATAATGTTTCATCAGTAAGTTGTGAATGTCGCATTCAAAATGTACCATCGTAATCTGTCAGTTTACCGTTAAAATATTATTTGTTACTGTTATTCTAGTCGGAAAGTGAAAGTACTTACTGAACATATTGTCTGTTAGGATTATAAATAATGCCGTTCGGGGTAAGTACCCCAAGTTATTTGTTTGCCTAGTTTGTGGTGTCATTATATTTATTTTGGGGGAACATTTTGTTTCTGAGACTTAAATGTTATACACACAAGCTCAATACTGACTTGTTTACATTCCGATGGAATTGTATTATAATTTATATTCAGTAATTTTATGCTTTTGTTTAACATAACAAAAAACAAATAGGGTAATATTCCCCATTTTCTTTAAAATAAATAGGAGACCCCAGGAGGAAATATTTAATGGAATTTCCTGCAATACTTACTGATGGCATTTTTTTTTGCGCGACTTTATGTTATTAAGGATCCTCTTACTAAAAATCCACAAACAATAAATAATTTAGAAAGATGTATTTAAAAATTTCTACGGGGTCCAAAACTGCTGGTTGTATGTATAGTTATGATTACAGTATCTTTAATGACCTGAAGTAGCAGTGCTTTATTTAACATATCGTAAGCCTTACAAGTCTTATGTGATCAATAATGGGTGTATTTATCCGAGTCGTATCAGTTACATCATACTGACCTTCAAATGTTGTTTTAGAGGTCATCGTTGAGTGGCACTGATATGCCTATTTTTCGACATTATACGTGTGTTTAAAACAGGTGCCAAACTGAATACAAAAACACTTTCATTAAGACATAAGTTTTCGTTATCAAGATATATGAACGCTAGATGGCGCGAAACTCAATATACAGTTGGGCCATGTATGTATATATACACTCGCATAGAAGTATTGCTCAAATTGTATGGCATACTGTGGTTTTAATTTACGTATAAAACGCGTACATGACCACTAAGTTCACAGTTTGTTTTCTGTTGTCCTTAATTTGACCCAGAAACAAACTTTGAAGATACAGTTGTGCTATCTCTATACCATCGTTGTGGTAATACGTTCCGCGAGTCTGTTCATATATTGTGACCTCAATCCCACGGCTCGCGGCTACATGTGAGAGATCAGTGTACATGAAATGTTGAATCCTGTCAGGGTTGGGCGATAAAGTTTTGTTCGTCCCTGTAAGATCCCCCAGCATACACTGCAACACCTTTTGAGTATATATATATACAGCGATGCAAGTTTTATAATTTAGCGTAATGGCTGCATAATTACGTCTTCTCTTTATGTAGACACACAGAGAAATGTTCAAAAATTACAAATAATAAAATTCAGCTTATCTAGGGTAACAAATACTTTATCAAGACGTAGATGTAAAAAAAAAAAAATAAACATAATGTATGTTGGCCTTTTCGCGTATCATTACGATAATTTTTTGTTTTGTTTTGTAAATTCAAGCAAGTTAATTTGAGAGTTTTCGTTGACGCATTCTGTTAATACGTGCACATGAACATGCGTACTTAATGTTTTGTGAGTTTTAAGTATAGTAGTGAGTTATTTTGTTGCATATCGAAATTCCATGCAGTAGAAGACGTTTTAAAGTTTTACGCTAAGGCTTCTTTTAGCTAAAAATCAAACTTTATTAACGAATATTGGGAAATATTTTGATACATTTTATTGCACACGTGAAGAGGCCGCATCCACCGCCAGCTCAGCGGGTCTAATATTTCAGGGTATAATAAACATAAGAACAGTGGGACTAGCCCACTATGAAAGGGCAGGTAGTGTCAAAATGTATAATGATAACTATACGACAGAAATGAGCTCTAAGAAAAGGATGGAGCTAATTGTATCTGGTACACTTTTTAGTTTTAAATCCTGAGTTGGACGTAAGCTTGTTCTAGTGAAGACGTGAAAATATCGACAGATGGCGCATAACTTGTTTAAAATGTTACAGTAATTTAAGAAATACAGGACATGTTTTTAAAATAAAATAGTGAAAAAATAGATACCTTTCAAAATATTAGTAACAGCGGGAATGAACATTTTAAATGCATAACTAATCATAAAAAATGGATTTTTTTAGTGTAGTAAGCACACAGGTAATACGTAGAAACTACCGTAACCGGTAAGATTATTTAAGAATAACATTAGAATATGTATAATTGATTCTAATGAGCAGCGTTTGATAAAAACAAATTTTTAAAGAGTTATCTTACTGTTAATGTAAATAACTGATACTGACAATGTGCTTATGGATTGTGATACTGTTTTTTCTTGCAACATATCTATATAAGTAAACGCTTGCGTTTGTCTGTCCAAAACTTTTTTTCGCAGATTTCTCAATCAAACGCCAAAAATCTCAGTTGGTTAGAAAGGCCTTTGTCCGAGGAGTCCGGATAGCATATTGCGCTTTTTAATTCAGAATCACCTTACCTGTTTTTTTTGCGTAGTAAAATTTTTCAATGCACGAGTATGGTACTCGATGGCACAATGTCGTTGTCATCATTTTAGTTTTTATTTGCAAAGTATGTCACACAAACAGCAGTTAACCCGTGTATAATTTCCTAAAAAAATGAACACTACAATAGATATAAATTCTGTGGGCTTTATCGACTTATTTAGGTCTCAAATATACCTGCCTAGTTCGTTCAAAACCGTATGCTTATTACTTTGTGAACACGCATTTAGACGTTTCTGCATAATCAGCTAAGTTTGCTTTCATTACAACTTTACATTTATTTTGCAATAATGTACCTTCCGTTCGTTTCATAGACTGTTTTATTCTTCGTTTTTTGTGAGTTTCTATGTTTCAACGCATAAACCCATATCGTACAATGAACGCTCATAACTGTTTCCTACTCTGTACACTAGTATAAATACCATTACTATACTTTATTGTTGACTTCACGTGTAGTTTTGTTAGGTAAAGTTATATCTACGTGAGTTTGTTTGTGTGACCGCTTAAATATTTTCAAATATACCAGGATTTATGGATCTAACACATATAATGCCTGCAATAAAGCGTAGCTTAAATGGCGAGCGTGAAAATGATAGAATAAGGACAATTTAAGCGAAGGGCATGAAAACTACCACAAATGTTTTGCGGGTCGCGGCTAGTTATAAAGAATATCTAGCAATACATTAAAAAGAAAGGCCACATTTAGTAGCTAAAATCGTGGAAATCACCTTTTCTTTAACTATAATTAATTTCTTATTTAACACAATCTACAAGACATTATACTTTCTGGCATATGAATGGGTAAAACCAACTTCTGTCATACAAATTACTCGAGTTAATTTCTCAAATTAATCTAACAATCTTTCATAATTTTCTGAATGGCCACTCTGAAACAAAACGTATTACTTCAACAATCGTAGTTCCATTAACAGACATGATCAATTAAAAGTGTGTCATTAATTATTGAATGAATTAATCAATCAAGTATAATTCATAAATATGATGCAATGGCGTAGGTCAACCTCCTCTCATTGAAAATTAGCCTAAATCATCCATTTGGTTAGTTAATATACATGTTAAAATGTTAACCAGCATTACAAGTAATTACATTTTGACTAAACCACCTAACGGAAATGCTAGGAAAAGAGATTTCAAATAAAACAACCTTTTATCTTGGGTGTTAAGAGATTTGTAGCTCTAGGATTGATTGATGGTTTACTTAGAGTTAAGAAGTAAAACCTGTATATAACATTTAGAAATAACTTGGGAAGAAACAAGAAATAATAACTTAAAAATAAAAAAAGAAAATGTGATATCATGCAGCAGTATGATCAAAAACTGTTTAAAGACTTAAAATATTTTCTCAAATTTTATTCAGAAGCGACTTTGTATCCTTTTTGAAAATGTCTAAGCCAAAGTTAGTGAAAAAGTTAACTCAAATATTTTCTTGAAAATGTAAGATTAGAGAAGAAAAACAACGTTAAATATTTTACATGCTGAACTACCTAATGTAGAACATCACTAAATACCTAGATATTTAACTCTTCGCAATGTAATTGTTCGCTTATTTTGATAAGTTTTAGATTTTGGTTTTATCTTTGTTAATAGTCAGATTCAAATAGATACGCAGTTATTTTTCAGTTAATACCCAACTCTCCAATTTAAAGAAAAACAGTGTAATAAGTAGCTGAAACTAATGTTCAAATCGCATTGAGAGATTTGGTAACTTATAACCTTAGATAATGATAGACAACGTCTCACGAAAAAGTAAGTTAATATGTGTATAATGTTAATTAAGTATTAAAGTTGATCAAATGGATAAGTTGAACAATATTTAAGAAGATCAGATGGATTAGTTGAACAATATTTAAGTAGATCAGATGGATAAGTTGAACAATATTTAAGTAGATCAAATAGATATGTTGAACGATATTCATGTAGATCAAATGGATAAGTTGAACAATATTTAAGTAGATCAAATAGATATGTTGAACGATATTCATGTAGATCAAATGGATAAGTTGAACAATATTTAAGTAGATCAAATAGATATGTTGAACGATATTCATGTAGATCAAATGGATAAGTTGAACAATATTTAAGTAGGTCAAATAGATATGTTAAACAATACTTATGTAGATTAAATGGATAAGTTGAACGATATTTATGTAGATCAAATGGATTAGTTGAACAATATTTAACAATCTTTTTTATATTTACTAACATGTGGCATAACCTCGCATTATTTGAATTAATTTACGACGTAGTGCATTTATTTGGAAAATATATTACTAATTTACTCAAGTTTATTTTAAATTTCTCACAACACTGGAAGAA